TAGTTAGCTAGCTAGCTCAGTAAGTAGCTAGCTAGCTATTTAGCTCGCTGGGTGGGTAGCTAGCCAGCTGGCTAGGTAGGTGGATATGTGGCTAGCTCGTTGGGTAGCTAGCTGCCTTGCGAGCTAGCTAGCTGAGTAGATAGCTAGCTATTTAGCTACTTGGGTTTAGGGTTTACAGCTAGCTAGCTGCCTAGCTAGCTAGCTGGGTATGTGGCTGTCTATGTGGGTAGCTAGCCAGCCAGCTAGCGAGCTAGCTGAGTAGGTGGCTAGCTATTTAGCTAGCTGGCTAGCTAGCTAGCTAGCTAGCTAAAAAGGACGGGCAAACGTCTTTGCCTGTTTTGTCTTCCCTCCTCCGGGAGAAACTTTTTTAGTTGCAGAGGCAGCAGCAACAGCTGCAGCAGCAGCAGCACCAGATGCTGCTGTGCTGCTGCTGCTGCTGTTGCTGCTGCGCATCAATGATAGTTAACCGCCTGTGCCAGCATTCTGCCGATCCTGCTGCTGTTGCTGTTGCTGCTGCTGCTATTGTGGCTACTGCTGCTGTAGCGGCTGCTGCTGTAGCTGCTGCTGCTGCTGCACTGATAGCTGCTGCTTCTACGGACCCCTGAATATAACCCTAAACCCTAAACCCTAGACAATAGTAAACCCTCAATATAAACCCGCGAAGCAAACCCTAGTCGTTTGTTTGTTTGTAATTAAACAGCTGCAAACCCTTTAGGGTTTAGGGTTTACAGCAGCGAAGCAGCAAAAAGAGACAAGTGCAGCAGCAGCAGCAGCAGCAAAGGAGACACAACGGTAAGTGCTACTGTGCCTTATGGGCCTTACTCCGCTCCACCTGAAACACAGCAGCAGCAGCAGCAGCAGCAGCAGCACAGCCAACAGCAGTTGCAACGGAGCTCAATAACATGCAGCAGCAGAAGCAGCTGCAGCATGCAAACAAGCAGCAGCAAACGCTGAGCAGCAACAGCAGCAACAACACTTGAAAAGCAGCAGCAGAAAACATTGAGCAGCGAGCACCAGCAGCAGCAGCAAACATTAAGCGGCAGCAACAGCAGCAGACGTTGAGCAGCAGCAGCAGCAGCAAAAGCATATCATCATCAGCAGCAGCAGCAAACACTGAACAGCAGCAGCAGCAGAAGTTGAGGTGTCTGACAGCTGTGAATCTGCCTCCTCCACCGAAGTAGTCGCGAGATTCTGTTTGCTGCTGCTGCTGTTGCTGCTGCTGCTGCTGCTCTGCAATGGGGTTGCATAACTCTATGCCTTGCAGAGGGGTGAAGCTGAGAGAAGAAGCAAAACCAGTGCTTGTTGCTGTTCCTGATGCAGCAGCAACTGAAGCAACACCCTTTGGCCGCAGCTGCTGCTGTCGGCGAGCGCCTGAAGAGAAACACCCAAATGCACTCTGCTGCTGCTGCTGCTGCTGCTGCTCCTGCTGTTGCTGTTGCTGTTGCTGTCAACAGACTGCTAATGCAGCGGCAGCCTCTCTGCACTTGTCCTGCTGCTGCTGCTGCTGCTGCTGCTGCTGCAGCTGCAGCTGGTGCAGCTGGAGCTTCCTGTTGAGGGTTTTGTGTTTCCCTTCTTAGCTGGGGGTTCGGGTGTTTAGGGTTTAGTAGTAGGGTTTATAAGGGTTTACAAGGGTTTATAAGGGTTTATGAGGGTTTATAAGGGTTTATGAGGGTTTATGAGGGTTTTTGAGGGTTTATGAGGGTTTATGAGGGTTTAGGGTTTACTCAGCTGCGCCTTCTTTTGCTGCTTCGCTTGCAGCTTCAGGCGACCATTCGCAATACTACGCCCTAACATTCCCAAACCCTTTGCTGCACACAAAACACTAAATAAACCCTCGCATGGTTTAGGGTTTAGGGTTTAGGGTTTAGAGCAGAAGGAGATGCGTGTTACATATATCTATATATGCACATATACATATATATATCTATAGCAATCTATTCACATATATATATACATATATAGCTATATATATACACGTATATATACATGTATATATACGTATATATGTATATATATATGTATATATATATGTGTATATATACATATATATATATATATATATGCATATATATATACATATATATACATATATATATATATACGTATAT